TCAGCGGTTTGTGCTAAAACTGGTCACGTGCGATTAGAATGAAAACATATCCCAGAGAACGGACCAACTCGGTACACGTGTTATTAACCCCAGGTTCATTTTGCGCCGGAATTGTCCTTTAAGTAATCTTTGAACTGTTAACATTTAATATATTGTTCAATTTCAAGTTCAAATTTGCCTTAGTAATAAAAGCCTTACCTTAATGTCGTTGACCAAAACTGTTTATGGATAAAAAGGACCAGACAAACATTGAAAACTAAAAAAAATTGCCAATTTCCAATAATGGCATAAACCAGCCATGCTCATTGATTTGCAACATGGTTTAGTACAACCAATAAAAACAATCGTCATTCTTTCATGGTACACATGGTTGGATCGTCCACCTACAACTTTTGTGTTTGTACAGTCAGGTGGAAAAAGGTTTCCTGAGTGGGGACAGAAGTATGAGCCATCTACTTATTAACCTATATGATATCTATCACAGGTTCATTCTTTTTCACCAGACACAATACAAGCGATATCAGTAGTAGTGCATTGTGAGGCCAGAACTTCAACACTGCACACAGAAAGCATTACAACTGTGTTAAAAAAGTCTGCAAAGACACTTTAACACTCATTTCATATGTCATCTTGTTGCTCTCACCTGTTCCTGGACGTCCTCGTACTCAGAGTTCAGCAGCTCAATGAAGATGGGAACAGCTCCTGTTTCAATCACCACCTTGGTGTGCAGGAAAGTACCTGAGGCAATGTTGGTCAGTGCCCAGGCTGCCTCAAACTGTTGGGAACACACAAAAAAGACATTTCAGTCAATCCACAGTCTGAAATTACCACCAGCCAAGTGACCATATTTCCTATGCCATGTTTACTTGATGATTAATTACAAATAGTTTAAGCAATATAGTACATTATGTAAAAAAACAAAAAAACAAAAAAACAACATGAATTACTTTGACTGGTGCTTTGAAGTTATTCTTGGTAGGAACATTTAAGATGAAGCACGCAACATGAACTGGACACCACTCATATCACATGAGGGCTTTATTAAATGAAAAACCTTTGGGTCACAGATTATTATTTGAGTCTAGAAAGAAATAAGATTAATGCATTTATTTTTTTAAATATTAAACATACATTATGCTTAAGAAGTAGGGCCTAACTTGGAGACTTTACTGCTGTTCCCCCAGATGCAAATTAAAAAGATGCACTGCACTTTTACTGCTGATGTGGATTCACATCTGGACAGGCATTTAGAGTGGGGGCTCCTGTATAAGCCAGGTCAAGCCTAATTTGCTCAATTTTAAGATATGTGTTAGTGTTAGCGTTAGAATTGGGTTAGAAACTCAGTTGTGATGGTTAAGGTTATGGAATGCATTATGTCAATGACAGGTTCCAGTTAAATACAGTATCACCACTGACAGTATATACAGTAGTTAGTGGACAGAGCTTTGGGGTCTGTGAAGTGAAGTGTCTTATACTTGCATTCTTTCTAACTTCCATTAGGAGAAACTACTTCTCATTTGATTTACGAGCTCAGTGAACATATTAGATATATTAGAAAACCATAGTGGTTATCTGACATCCAAATGACTGAACATATGCAGAACATGTCGAGCTAATCATAGCTTTATTCCTATAGGTGCTGTGCTGTGCAGCTCTCACCTGCAATGTGCAGTTTTCACTCCTCTTCAGGAATTCCACAAAACGATTCACAACACCAGGAGTGGAAATTACCTCATCTATGGGTGGGTTCGGCTCTGCACAGGGGAACAGAACAGAACTCACCTCATGCAATGTAACCCGGTTCAATGGATGAACAGGTTTAAGAGAAGGCAGTGACTCTTATTGACTGAAGTGCAAAAAGAGAAAAGAAGTCAGTTTACCTGTGTGTGCACTACAAAGTTTACTCGTAATATGACAATGACACAAACCATTATAGTTAAATGACTGCTCATGCAGGTGAAACCTCACTAAAGTATTTATTGATCTGTTTCCAATGACTTCATGATCTCCGTTTATGCAAATATCCTGTCCGAGGTTTCTGCCTCTTAAAATAAAGTTTTTCCTTGCCCCCCCGTCACCAAGTGCTTACTCATGGTGGTACTGTTGGGTCTCTGTAAATAATGTTATAAGGAGTTTGGTCTAGATCTGCTCTATTTAAAAAGTTACCTGAGATAACTTTTGTTATGAATTGGTGCTATACAAATAAAACTGAATTGAATGGAATTTTTGGTCAGTCTGTTCAGTTGTGACGTACTGCGAATTTCAAAAGTTGGCACTCTTCTTTCATCTTACTGAGTGAATGGGCAGTACAACAGATACTTAAGTAAAGATGCGAGAGGTTATGTATAATATTTGAATTCCCAGGATGCAACACAAACCTTTAGAGAGTAATTTCCTAAATTTCTGTGTAGCAATTAGCTGCTGGTCTGGGTCTTCAGAGAAGATCATCTGAATCATATCTGGAGTTATGACCCCATCCTGCACAAATGTCAACATGGGATAAATATCACACATTAAAATCACATTCAGATCTTAGCCAATCACAGTTATAGAAAACAAACTATACCAGACACAGTATAAAGAAAGAACACAAGAGTAAACACTTACACTGGCAACAGGTACCGTGGAGCTGATATCTGGATCTTGGATCGGACATTCTAGCATTGATTCATCACTGGAAGGTACACATACATTTCTCCTCTTGAACAGCTGTGGACACAAAGTCGAGGTTAACCTGCTGTCTACACGTTTAGCACCTTGGCTCGATGAACTGACTGTCACCAAACACACTGGTACATAAGAAAAAAATGCAGCTTTAATTGTAATTCAGAGCATTTAATGTTCTGAATAACAAATAAGAATGTCAACCACTTTAAGACTTTTCACACACTTTCAAACCCTTTGTTAAATACACGCAGTAATCAGCAATCAGTCTGATATAATTGTAATCCAATATTATAGAAGCAATTACTAAGCTGGGAGGAAATGCTTCAAGGTAAGACACTGTTTACCTGCTCTTCTCTCTTCTGTTTGCGTAGCTGGATTCCTTCCTCTTCTCTCCTTCGACGCATCTCCTGAGGATTCAGTGCTTTGTTTTTATAGCTCTTCATCCTGTAGTTGTCTTTTCCCGGACTTGCCATTGTGTCTACAAAAACATGGACAGGCCATTAAGATCAAGGTGCACTTGCTCATTAACTGTTGAGGATCTGTGACAACACTTCAAAGTAAAATTTACTTTTTGTTATACTTGCTGAAGCTTTCACTATATCCTGAAAGTAAAACATGAGACAGATAATCTGTGAAAAAAAGTCAAGTTTTGTGCTCCTAATGCCCATTTGCAAGAATCCACTGGAAGTGAACAAAAACAACCAATCAGAGGTGAGAAAAATGGGTAATGCTATGGGAATGAAACTCAAACTATCTTCAAGCCACCAATCCACAGCGTCTTTTGATCTTTCACAGATATGATTGGTTGTTTTCATTTTCCCTTGCAAGTTTTGAGAAGGTGGTCAAAAAGTTGGTGCTGTATTATAATTCTCATGCACCCTGCTGTAAACATATGCCTACATTTCCTATAGAACAGAATAGAATTATATCTGACTTTTCTTTTTCTGATATTGGCATTATATATCGCTATTAGCAGTGGCTACTGATAAACCCATATCGGTTGGCCACTAAAGTGAAATCATATTGTGTAAGTCAGTATGATGTTGTCAATACTTTAAGAAAGGACGTCCGCAAGCTAACTCAATACTAACAAAATCACATCACAATTATTCAAGACAGAGATAAATGAATTTAATTTAAATAAATGAACAATAGAACTGGGCCTAAAATGGATGCCCTCACAGCCATTTCTGTGTGAACTGCTCTAAAACCAATTGAAGCTGACTGAGGATAAAAATGAAATAGAGATTGACTGATTAATGTTAAACTATGATACAATGTTTTATATTGTGTAAACCAGCTATACAAAGTTAAAGGCTGAGGTACCGCAATGATTGGCTCTACATCCAAACTGATCTCACTGACTTTAACCTATGATTATTATTAACAAGCAATTCAAAAAAAAGCAGCACAAGTTGAGAAGATATTAGGGGTGCACATAATGACAGATAGCTAAAGATTTCTGCTGGTCTTAAACTAAGACACATTCCGTTGTGTGCATTCCAGCTGTTTTCCCGGGCATTAAGGAAGTCCTGCTAGATTCCTTGCCTAAAACTAACGTTAGCTAGCTGTTAGCTAGCTGTTAGTCAGCGCTGCACTGCTGACAGCCAACATACCAGAATCAAAGTCAGCTTACTGACCAAGTATTGTGCACACATGCATCTAGTAGGGTAACCTGTTCAAATGAATACACAAAGCTGACGTTAATCCATCCAACAGCACGTTAGTAACATCTCTCCGTGCAACCGAACGACATTTATTTGGCTTATTCCTGATAATTTAGTAACGTTAGCTAAGCAAGCTTCGCGGCTAGCTCCTGAGCTAATGCTGCGTTGTGTCACATATCACAGAGGTACTCAGTTGGAACGACGCCAACAACAAACCCCACAACGCATTCCCACAGCACTCACTAGTACCAACGAAAGAGCTAATACAGCATACCTGAAACTGCGCACGGCTCTTTAATAGATACAACCTTTGCTTCTCTTCCAAAGAGCAAAATGGCGCCCTATTGAATCTTTCCCAGCACACACCTCGCGTCAACAACACCTCACGCCACTTCCGTCAGCTGTCGGCCGGTTTCCGGAAGTCCTAACGTTACCCTTTTTTATTTTCTATTTTTAAACTTTATTCAGAAAACACAACTTCGTTCATTCAACACATTAACCATGGGGGTTTACCAAATTTTCAGACAAATGTACAATATAAAAATTACATAAATTACATCTACTGTATACTATATATATATAAATAATATTAAAATAAATTAAATTCTAACGTTACAAACAAATACAATATTTGAAAATAAAATTAAAAAAATAAAAACTTATAATAAGAAAAATTAAAGCAAAGTCCTTTACTCTTTACTCTTTTCTTTAATATGATTAAGACATTTATGCAAGATTCTCAAACATCCTTTTCTCATTTTTAACACTGTTTCTGGGTTAGGATTAGTTTGATCTCAAACACAAAAAAGACAACAAACAAACAACAAACAACAGATCCCCATTTGTTTTGTCATTGGCAATTCTTTTATTGTGAAAGTTTGGACCGGAAATTTCATATTTCATGGAGGCGGGCGGCATTAGCCTGAAAGGTTTCGAAGCTGAAGAAAGGAAAGGACAACATACCTGAATCCTCCCTGTGAATGAACTGTGAGTACATCTTTGGATTATTTAGACAAACACAAACTGTTACCGCTGAATGTATTGTCCATTAAGGTTGCACCATTATTCCAGTCACACATATCAGGTGTTTAATAGCGTTAATAATGTACCTGTTATTCTTATTCACCACAGTTTGAATCATGAAAACGTTAGTACGAATCCTATTTGGGCACATACACAAACGCTGTAGCACACGTGATAAAAGTGAGTCTTTTAGACAGCAGACAAACTAAACTGACTGAACATTTCACTCTTATTCATTTGGAAGCTCCTTTCCGCCTATGTGATGAATAAAAAAGGATTCTGTAAGTTATTATAATGAAAACTTCATCAAAATAATGACATAGACATAACATAACATGACATAAATCATTATTTTTACTCCAACAATACTATTTTCATTACCTTAATTCACTTTTCCATTTGACAAAATAACCCAGCCTTTTTTGTAATGATTTTATGTCTGCCTCCTTTATCTCCCAAATTTGTTTTTATTTATTAGATTTTCTTTCATACATATTTTGGACATATCTTTGGCAATGTGAAACACCACCACATCTGTAATATCTTACCACTGTGGCCCCTACTTCTCATATGGATACTATGGGGAAATTATTTGTACACGTCCTGTCTACATGAGTGACTTGAGTGGATGGGGCTTGTTTTATTGCATCCTTAATGGATGAACTATTTAGGTGGAAATTGAGTTTTAAAAGTTCCACTGTGAATATACGTCTCACGATCATATTCTGTGCCTGCATTATTCTTCTATGTGAGTAAATGATTCCCTCCTGTGAACGCACAGCAGCGCCAATCTCAAATGCACCAATGCCTAGGAATGTAACAATATATCGTGAGACAGTTAAAGGTCCAGTGTGTAACATTTAGGAGGGTCTATTGTCAGAAATGGAATATAATATTTATAGGTATATTTTTGTTAGTGTATAATCACCTAAATATAAGAATCATTGTGGTTTTATTACCTTAGAATGAGCTGCTTTTATCTGAACAGCCAAACCCAATACTGGCTCTAGACAGGACCATTTGTGCTTTTCGCACGTCCCACTGGACTTTTTGCAGATTCAAACCTACATTACAGATTTTTTTACCACTTGGGTGCAGCAGTAACAAGCTGTAAACCTAAAACTGATATTATCACCTTTTTTTTAATTTTATTTTATATAGCGAATGTGTTAGCATACAGTTGCCTATTTACACCTACAGCAGACAGGGAGCAACATTAACAACAATTTGGAGTCGTGTTTCTGTCCAGCTGATGAAGCAAGTCTAATATTCACTCTCCTTTTTAGCAGTTTTGGTCTCCACCAACTCCTGAGAAAAATATCTGCAGCCTGTTGCACCAGCTGTGTGTAAGCTCAAACTTAGCCTAGTTATATAACGTAAATTATTACTTAGTTGTGATTTATGCATTACTAAAAGTGGTTGCACCACTGATAAGTTACAACTCTAAGTAAGAACTAAATATTTACACACGCCCCTAAGGTAGTGTCACAGATTGCTCAGCATATTGTTTGTATTAATTGCAGCCATTTTGTGACGCATTAATCGAGTAGAAACCCAGTGTATTGATATTTCATTACGATGAGGTACGATACCAGGTGGTTCATATCAGCCAGAAAGCTAATGTGCACGGTAACCATGGTGATGGAACAATATCTTTGATTGTTGATTGGCCACTTAGTTAAGACTTCATGTCCCAACTGGTTAAGTTATGCCTGAACTAATGGTGGGGCAACCAACTCTAGTAGCTGATTTAGTTACAAACTGCTGAGCAGTTACTGAGTGTCGGCTTTACACCCTAACTTAGGAGAGACTGTACACACAGCGGGTGCGACCCAGCCCCGGTTCTTCAGCTGCTAAATGCTCCACTGGGTTCACCAGCTAATGTTAGCCTCTAATTTCATCTGTCTTCTGTTTAGTTCTGGGTAGGTAGCGTACAGTAGGTTTTTAGAACTTCACAATTAACAGCTGACTGCTGTGGCACGAGAACGAAAACTACAACACTAAGTGTAGTTTTTCTAGTTGTGGAAAACTAAAACAATGAGCTAAAAGAGCCATTGACAATATATTTAATGGACAGAGCTTCTGGGTCTGTGAAGTGGGCCAGCGTGAAGTGTCTTAAAACTGCATTCTATGTGATGGCCAGCAGGGGGCTGC